CGAGATGTTGTCGAAGTAACTTGATTTGCTAATCCGTTGGGGTTTCCCCGCGTGGGTTCGTATCCCATCCCCATTGCCAAATGTTACAGTCTCAATCCGGTTAGCCCGGAGAACAAGGCACAGAACACGTATAGTCCAGAGCACGTAGCTTTACTGAATGGATCATGCGTCACGTGGCAATCTACAGTAGGACAATGACTAACAGGTCAACCAACAGGAATGAGTCGTGTTGCCTGTGTGCGTGTGTGCATGTGTATGTGGTGACGTAAACACTGGTCTTTGTCTGAGAGTGAGACGGAGAATAGGTCGATGGCATAATCGACGTTGACACATGTCACGGTATTGTATTCTCAACCGGTCAATTGTTCAACATTTTGATCAAAAATCACTTTGCAATCTGTTAAGCCCGGGCAATATTCTCGGACAACGAAGATCCCACGCATGCTCAGTGGTTTTGGGGGTCTGATCAGCTGGCGGATTATCGAAGCTTTCCTGTCTGACTCTTTGTTTTTAACTCACTCGTAAGTGCGGGTCGATTATGGGCTGCGTTATCACCTTGTATTACACAGCTATCGATTGCTGATGTGGTGCAAGATACAAACACTCTTTCCCTCGTGATTAGATTATATTCTTCAGTTTTGATTACCCTTGCTGGACGATAAGGTAGTTTTTCTTTCATTCATATTTCACCTGATACTTGTACAGCGTCCGTGATACCCTGAATGGTTCAGGTTCTCTATCCTACTAATCAGTTCTCGAACTTTTGAGTCCACCACTCTGATTCCTCTAAGTAAGACCGAATCAAATCAACAACAAAAAACTGGAAAAACTCTAAAGATTTAGTGGTGGAATACAAACATCATCATCCAAATAAAGCAAGCCACTTTAGCGGTTCTGTTTGGCTTAGTCGTTGTGGTACGTTCGGCTTATTTATGAACTACTGGTGGAAGTTTTCATCTAAAAGAAACCGTCTAATTTTGCTAATTTGTAACAAGTGAGTTTCAACTCCACGTACATTATTCAGGTCATAAAACTAACTCATCGACTCTAAACTAATATTATGTATACTTCACAGTTGTTCGAGGACAGACTGTGTGTCAAGCCATTCATGGTACAATAATCCTATTGAAAAAGAAAAACGCTCCACGATTTGCATATGACTTGAATACTGCCAGGTTACCCCGGGTCGAGGCAGGTGAATTTTCTTGAGGAATCCATAACCGAATCCTTCGACTAGCCAAATCCTGACCCCCGAGACAGCCGGGCGGTGTGTAAACCTCAATCCATTGAGAGCTGGTATCCATTTTATCGGATCATACGCCCTTCTGATGGGGTCAAACGTCCAAGATGCTTAATACACCTCAACACCCAATTGAGCCGGTGACCACTGCCACAACCGAAAAGGTGTGGGTGTGGTTCGTACACCTTCTCTTGGTTGGTTTGGAATCAGGGATTCTATCAAAACCCTCCAGCCATATCAGATAGAAGTCTCAGTATGGTCTGGAGGTGGGTGTCTAGGGTTGCGGATGGTCACCCTTCTCAAGCACCTCGCGCAATGCTCCCGTACGACTGGGGGTCTCGAACAGCCTCTGCTGAGGAAGTCCTACTCAATGCTCTCTTGTGGTTTCAGGTACTCTTGATGGTCTTTTGATGTTGTTTATCGTATCCCACCCAATCGATCGAGTCTGCCCGAGTTTGAACACTATCTATGGCTGAGGCGATCGCCATTCGGTTACTAGGCCCCAACCTATGTGTCCAAAAAGACTGGTGCAGGTACTCCTATTGCCTTGGCCGGATGTGAAAACCAAGACAAAACAAGATGTGTCACTTGACCCAATTGAGGAAAGATCACATCAACTAACACGCTAAGCATTCTTACACACACGCACATACGCATCCCTCACTCTCTGCCTCCGATTAGTGACCTTGAATGGAGCCAAGGGCTAGCATTATGTTAGGAGTTTTTCCGATATATGATATGTAAGTGCATAACTAGGAATACCCGAAAACAATTGTTCGCTAATTGATTCGTTTTCTCAATGTGATTAGGGTCGACAAGTTGCCACACGACCGCACTTGTGATTGTCCTAATAGCTCCACTTCGCAACCACGAAGGGTGATGCTCACGGATGCACTCGGACAGACGCCTGGTCTTGCGGCCAAACTACTTTGCTCCACAGGAGCAAGTGAGATTAAATACAGAAAGAGGTAGCAGAATCGGGCACTCTATTCTTCATCCGTAGATACACAAACGAGCTAAATGTGAATCTAGTTTGGAGCTTGGCCGCGTAGAACGTTTTGTTAATGGTATTTGACAGCCTTCTACGCATAAGCTTTGCCAAGGAGTCACCTTTAAATGCTAAAGAAATGTACACATACGTCTCAACGATTACTCTCTAGGGAAACGCGTTTTGTCGTTGCATCACAGACTCCAGCAAGCACTTCGAGTATCCACTATGGACCAAGCTTTTCCGCACATTTCTGAGTTCTTCAACCAACATGTCCTTCGCGCAAATTACTCTAGCTCTATTGGCCAAACAGAGTATGAGATTCTTCTTCATACTGAGTGATACAAAGCTACGAAAATGAATGTACTGCCCATTCGAAGTCGCCTTCCTGCGTACTGACCGCCTGGTGAACCCATCATCACAACGAGTTAGGTGAACATCTAAATATGCTAGTTGATTGTTTGCTTCATTTCTAATTGTGAATTTCAGATTGCGATGCACAGCACTGAAGTGATCTAGTACATGTTGGCAGTCCGTTGTAGAATCTACCACGCACAAAAAACATCGTCTACGTAACGTCTGTACAGTACGCGTTGAGCAATATGTAGTTTAAGCGGACGGTTTTCTATTTTAGACATGAAAACATCGGCAAACAAGGGCCATAGCGGGGACCCCATTACTACACCATCTTTCTGGCGATAGATTTCCTTATTGAACTTGAATTATATATGCATTTTAAGTGCAGCAGAATAAAAATTGTTTTAGGTAATCAGTCTGTAGGCCTATGTTAATTTCGTTACTTTCGATATAGATACACAAATAATCAATTATTTCGCTAATCGGAACATTCATGAACATCTTTGATCTATGATATTTAAGCCACTCAAGGTGTCAATGTATCCTTAAGACTATGCTAAGCTAACGTCACTCTCACCGGTTCCAGAAGAGGAGTCAACCATTTAGCTACAGAATGATAAGGAGAGTTGCACATGTCCAGGATTGGCCGGACGGAGTACTCCACTCTTACGTACTTTGGGCAGACCATACAACCGTGCAATCATAGTCCCCGTTGGCTGAATAGGTTCGAAAGTGGCGGTGTTTAAGAGCCTTTTTGTCTAATTTATCGTAATATGCTAGAAAGTGAATTCTGTGAACTTCGATTCATTATTCAGAACTGTCGCTACCTTCCTGACGAAATCTGATTTATTAAGTAAGGCGACACTGGATCTCTTTTCGGTTTTCGTTATGGTAACTTCCGTGTTCCATTATAACTTTCTTAGTTTCACCGAGAATCCAATTCGCTTTGTAATATTTGGAGACCGTGTTCTACACGGCTCTACATTCTAACGGGGAAAGGAAGGCATTGAACGGGCCACAATCCTTGCTTATCAATGGCTATTCAACACTACATCGGTTGTCAATTTTTAAAAAATAGCAGAAGTTGGATAAAAAACTTAAAATTAAACAAAACGATTGTGTCTCAAACATTCTTCCTCCAAATCACACCTGAGAACCTGGCTTATTTCAGACCTGGTCGAGATTGTATCGACCACATCTTTACTCTTCGTCAAATCCTAAAACACAGACACAACTTTCGTAGACCCACCATCTCTGTCTTCCTGGATCTGAAAGCGGCTTTTGACTCAGTCGACCCCTCTAAACTCTGGCACTGCCTCGCTCTAAGGGCTGTACTCGAGAAGTTTATTTCAATATTACAATCCCTCTATAATAATTGCCAAAGCCGAGTCCAAGCTTACGGCACTTTTTCACCCGAGTTCACCACGGAAAGTGGTGTTCGACAGGGTTGCCCTCTCTCTCTCTCTCTGTTTTTATTAAACTTTGTCATATTTAATTCTTGAACCAGCTCTGTTTTTATGCGACAGAGGCAACACAAATCAACCCGAGATTACGATCCTACGAGTAGCCGTCGAGCTCAAAAGGGGGAAGTTTTATGACGGAGCTGAAGCAACCCGTCCGATTGCACACGCCTCCGAGTCAGGCCACACGCACGCTCGCAACGCTCCAGACAAACTGAGCTCGATTGGATGATCACAGAACGAATCAGCCAGTGTTTGATCAATCGATCAATCAATATGCCAAGGACGCAATCTGATTGATTGGTCCATCACTGCGTCGTTCTCGTATGCGCGATTTGTTCTATATATTTGCGTATCGATATCTAATAAAAAATACACTGACTGCTGTCTCAACCTTTGTTCTCTCTTTCCGCGTTCCTGTTGCGGGTCAGGCTAGAGTCGCTCGTGTAATTCGTAGGTCTACACCGAACACAACACAGATACATTTCCACTTGTCGTCTGCTTGTAAGTGACGCGTAAAACTGTCACGGCCACTGTCGATCGATTGAGATTTTTCAACTAGTTGTAGGACGTAATAACTAAGTTACATGCATCAAGCCGAGTTGTGCGCCACTGCTGTAGCCTACGATCGGTCGCTGTACTTCAACGATAAATACAAATCGCTTGAAAGTGAGGGGGACAAAGTTCAAGACATGAGGAACGAGGATGTTCCAAGTACAACCAGAGGTGGTCACCTTCGTTTGAACCCAAATTCTGTATCCCACATTCGGAAGAGAACAATTCGGCTGGAAGTCAGCAAAACTCAAACAAATTTATTCATTGCATCAAAATATCACGCGGGCGGGGGGGGGNGGGGGGGGGAAATAACTCATCGTCACATGATATGCGATTTGAAAAATAAAATCACCAAGTCAAAAGTATTCATTTCGAATGTTTGAAACAGTAAGAAATTGATCTACTTCGATTGAAGTATGGTTTTGGCCTTCTGCAAAATTGCATCACACGATTCCGTTGCTAATTTCGCATCTTTCACACTACTGAGCACTTGTCCCTCTAACCACGTACGCGCTTTGCGTGAGAACAAGGACCATTCGTCCGATCGATCCGCGAGTGACAACTCCAAAAAGACCAGAACAAGCGCCGTGGTCCAGACTGTCTCGTCCACCGGAGCTTTCGCACTATCGGACCCTGTGGATGAGAAAGTGAGATCAAGTTTACACCTAAAAATCACGAAGCGCTGACAGTACCAGTCACTCTTTGTTTGTGAAGTCAAGCAATGAAACAGTGAACAAATAACGTAAATGGTCTGATCTGCACTCGATATCAGAATCAATCGACAGATCTGACACCGGACTGATGCATGGAAATACGTTCTCAGTACACCTGAGATCTGCTCGTATCCTGTCTTTTCAGACTGGACACATTCCGCGGGTATCCGAAATGCCCGTTTGTTCGACTTCGTGATTCAAAGTAATCTTGGTTGGTTAGAAACTCAACGGATTTCGCATCTGATCAACGCCAGTAGGGCATTTCACCAAATGCATCTTCGAATTCGGGAAAACCGAATCTAGATCGATAAACAGTTGTTGTAATCTCATCATTTCGTATGAACTTCAGTACTTCACCTCAATAGTTTACTCGAAGACATGGAACTTTAAGCACAATGTACCACATAGATTGGATCAAACGCGATCTCCACTCATACCCTGGAGAGACTGATCCTCTACCATGATACCTGTATGCGGCGCGTGTATCATTTGGGCTCATCAAGAAAGTTGACAGAAAACAGACACAAAACTGGAAGTGTGGCGAATCAGTTCCACTCGTGCAACGTAAGATCAAAGTAGTTCGAACAATCCGAAACAGTCACATGACATACAGCTATGACCTAACGGTTATGATTCAGTTACAGATCTGTCGCTGACGAAACGACCACCCATCACATAGCATAGAGACCTACATGAACACTGTTAGTGACAATGAAATCACATTTGTTCAACCCACGTACAGTGTGGCGGAATTGTGGATTTGATCTTGTCCACAGTCAGCTGAATGGTTTTCGCCAATTCCTCATCCAACTTCCAGAATCCAGACGGTTTTTGAAGGTCGGCCAGCGTTAACAAGATATCCTCTGTTTCCTGCGGTGCACTTTCATCGGATGACAGTCTCTGCCGTGCACGATCTGGAGAACGTCGTGCAGCTGATCAGAGAGAGAGAGAGAGAGAGAAAAGGGCAACACGGGTTTCACAATTTATAACAATGGACCCGGGTATCCGGCGAAATAATAGACAGTGATAGAATGTAAACAATGTGTTTCCTATTATCGGTCACATATCCAAGCAAAGAAAAAAAATGTGATTATCTTTGCAGGGTAATCGGGACAGTAATTAATGAACAGAAAATAACGCTGAATAATAAATCCATGTGCACATGATTCACATAGGAATGATTTTTTGAGTCTATCCGTATCAACAATACTCACCACAAGACTTGAATGGACGAGAGTTTAATATCACTTCTAAAATGAAAGACCAATCGTCTCAAATAGCTTCTGCTGAGGAGGCCCCACTCACTAGTGTTTCGTGATGGCGGAGGTGTTTTCCCACCAAAGTGAAAACGAAAAGCCGATATTCGGGGCTATTACCAGTTTGGTAGACCACTGGTAGTTCACCTAAGGGAGTTGGTCAAAAACCGTGATTCCAAACCAACGAAGAAGAGGCGTAGGAACCACACACATCTTTTCGGTTGTGGTAGTGGTCACCGGCCCGATTGGGCACCTTGGACGTTTAACAACATCCAAAGGGTGTAGGATCCAATGAACTAGAGACCAGCCCCCAATGGATTGCGGTTTTCGCATGTCGCCCCTCTGCTTGGCTGGTCAGGCGTTGGCTAGTCCAAAGCTCCGGTTGTGGATTCCTCAGGAAAATTCACCTGCCTGAGCCTGGGCAACCTGACAGTATTCCGCCCTCACGCAAATCATGAAACGTCTTTCATTTTCACAAGGTTTATTGTACCATGATTTGTTTCGCACGCAGTTTGAGTTCAAACGTGTGTGAAGACATATGATAATAATAAAATTTGAATTTAGAGTCGGATTTGAGGACGCTCCGGGTCAAATTGCATCTTAGAAACACTAGCAATCCCAGCCAGGAAGCACCGCTCGAACTGCCTCGAACCGATTATCATCGGAAAACAGGGCGATGGTGTACTTCCTGCATGTTCCGTTTGCCGGTTACTCAGTTATGTGCATGTTTTTCCTCTGAAGTAATGACCGGAAGACAGGAAAGCAGCCTACCACGTATATCACATAAAAACATCCAAGTAAGCAATGATACTTGATAACTTCACCATATAATTGGATGATACTGTTCTCCATTTTAAATAAGACCGTTATCATTTAAATAGACTTACTCAGAAAACCTCCTCCGAGTTTTCTCTCTACAAAGTAAAATTTCGAAACGTGTAGAAACTCGTCTTCGGGCAAACTATGTGCAAACATTCTGACCTCGAAATTCGCATAGACACGGAAAAAAATAACCAATGAAAAACCCGAATCTAACTACATGCGCATTTAAAAAAAAATCATTCGAACGTACTTGCTTTCTTCTTAACTGAAAAATAGAGTGAGCGAAACTGCATTCAGTTACCACAGGCGGGATGGAATATGTATTTGTATAGCTTGTGTAAGCTTTTACGCTTATAGTTCAGGTAAAAAGTAAATGAAAAGTAAATTCACTATGTGCATTCTCAGGTAGTTACATTCCATGCGGAAAAAGGAATAAGGTTGAGAGACAGATAAACACAGACAAACTACACTATTAGAACTGAGATTCACTGTACCAAAGGAACCGCTCTCTTTATCTCTCTCTCTCTCTCTCTCTCTCTGACAATGGGTGAAGTCCCAGCGTGTGCGGCTAGGATATTCTCTAACGGAGCCGGTTTATTCGTTCAGATCGCGAGAAGTCTCGCTGCAAACTAGATAATCGAGATAATGGCTCGGAAACAAGCTGGATCGTCTCGAGGAGCCTTGAAACCGTGATTCCGAACTTTCCGGTCTGGTGAATAACCCACCCTATCGGAACCAAAGAGTACTTCGAATTTGTATTATGCAATCCCAATGATTTACCACCTTCATACAACAGCCACCGCTTAGGACGGGTAGGACTAAACTTGCCAAAAGCTCCGACTGATAACTTGGACATTTCCGTATGATATGATAGGGTGATTGTTGAAATCCAAATGAAACTTGTTTGCCGCAATTACGTGATTGACATTCTGATTACAACAAAGATGTTGGAATAAATTATACTGATTAGTCGATTAAATTAAATAGAACATAAGACTATTCTCATTGTTTTTAGTTTGTAAAATGCAATCATAAGTTTCGTTTTATCAGGTTGTGACATGTGCCAACGTCAATTATGGAGTCGATCAATTCTCCATCCCACTCACCGGTGCTTATCTCTCAGACGAAGACTAGTGTTTACCTCACCCACATACACATGCATACACGGGGGCTCTCGCCTGCTCGTACACGCACATAGACCCCACAGCTCATTCCTATTGGTTGACCTGTTAGTCATTGTTCTATTGTAGATTGTCACGTGACGCATGATCCATTCAGTAGAGCTACGTGATCTGTGCCTTGTTCTCCAGGCCAACTACGGGTTAGCTTAGTTGACGACTGTAACACAAGTGAATACTGGTGGTGGATGGCGCTTTCTTGCTACCAGACTTCTAGTAAAACGAAACTCCGGTGTATCTTTGTTTTGGAACTCCGTCCCCTTGTTCTCTCATCTGATCTAGTCCATTGGTAAATGTTATCATACCAACTAAACACAGTTTATGTTAATCATTGCAAATGCTTCTCCATCTCTGAAGTTACCACCCGAGGCGGAGGTCACATCACGAAAAGCGACTGTCTGTTAAGGGAAGGTTTTACACCGACTCGGTAATTAGTGTTCTGCTTTACGGTTGCGAAACCTGGCACCTCCGACTGGAAGATGTTAATCGACTTCCCGCATACAACCAACGACGTCTCCTAAGCATTACCCATGCTTGGTGAAAATACCGAGTGAGAAATGACGAAGTTTATCTTCGTGAGTTTGGTGTCGATAAACTTTCTCTAAAAAAAGTAATCCATCTACACCACCTTCGATAGTTTCTTCGAGTTTCGCGTATGCCTACACACTTTCTATCTTTGGGTGATTTCTTCCTTACGTGTTGGGCGAGGCTGGAAGAAATATCGCAGCGGCCAGACCATGACACAGTGTAGAGATATGAAGAGGCTAGCTTCTGCTTTGGTTTCGGTTGGTGTAACAGCCCGCCTTTCAGGTTGGGGCTAAAAGGGTTGAGGATTGTCGTTGATTAGACACACTGGGACATATGGTCCGGAACAGAGGCCAGTTGCGCGAGTGCTGTTTGGTCCGTCCGCTTATAATCCATGCCCTATAAAGAAAACCAATAAACTAACACCCACAAAATGTAAAAACGTGTACGGTGAAACAAGGAAAAAGATTGCTATTTTCGTTATTCACTGACTCTGTTTGGCCCCCATTCTGTTATTCTTTTGTTTCGTTGAAACGAAGCTTGATCTCAATTCGGTGATATATATAGATATATTACATTAATTAGTACACGAGGGACTAGATACAATTTCTCTGGAAGCACAAGACCGGTTTCGCGGTTCTTACCGCTCGTCAGGCATGCATATTTGGTAATATTTTGTCACTTCATTCATATAGTTGTGTACTCGGGAAGTATATTTTCCTCACAATAACCAACGGACTGGTTCTGGAAGAGCTATCCAAACAAACGTACCTGGTGTTGCAAATAAGGGTCCTTTCTGTTTGTATGGAAGTATCTATCTACCTGAATCCTCTCCTCTCCGTGAAAGTTATGCAACGAGTGAATATGAATATATTTTTTGAGCACATTTGAAACAGTTGTCCTTTTGTGATTATGATTTATCAGTGGCTGCGTGTGGTGATCCAGACTTCCGTGACCGCAATCCATGCACAACCAGGTACAGTTTTATGTCATCCAATCACCGTTCAGGAAGCTCGGCCAATGGTACACCGGGCGAACATGACATCCGAGTTAGTACATATGATACGTCGATGCAAACGGTTACGTGATTAGAGGATGCTCGTTCAACCAATGATATGGACTATTACATTCTATAAAACATAATCTAATTCCATCAATAAAGATAAGTATTTGCTGTTATCGATTCCTCGTGTATTTCACTGGTGTCCGCATTTCCGGTTGGAGCCAATCCATTTCTGAGCAGTCCATTACGGGTTCTCGTATTCCTACATTCAGTACTATTCCGATTATCACACTGCGCTATTTTCCGAACCCCGCACACACCGCGTATCACGAAAAACAAAGCTATTCATTCATTCATGCATACATATATACACACATACATACGTACATACATACATGCTTTGTGTGAATCTCAACTGAGGATTTAATAAAGTTATATTGAAAAATGTACTGCATCGTTTATAGGCAGTCACACTGTTGTTCAGACCAGTCGGTAACAGCTCGTGTTCCGCTGCGGTCAGTGGATGATTTCACTCATTGTTTTTCGCTAGTCATGGACTCGGTCATTCGTTGTCTGTTCATAATAACAGTAAATGACAATCGGCCCATGCTCTTGAACCTGTTTCTGTAGACGAGAAAAAACGGAAACGACAAGTTCAGTGCCGGCGAACATTTGGTTTTGATAAAATGGTCCGTCTCTTAGTGGTCTCATTGAACGCACGCTGAAGAGTGGACGCCGGCGTGGAACTCGACAAAACCATACATTGACGATATTGTCACCTCTAGAACGAATGGATGTGAGTGGGTTCCAACCCCGTCTCCCCGCCCCTTCATTTTCATCAGGTCAGTCAGTAGACTTTCTCCGTTTTTTTTAACAACTGGCGTTTTTTAGTGGATCAGTGCCTGTCTGGGTATTGGTTTCACGGCCAATATGTTTCGAACAGAGTAAACTGGTCTGACTGCTATTGTGTGACAACCGTGCCGTGATGTATAACTGGACGGATCTGACGTTTTAAACTAACCCTTCTTGCAAATAATATGGAGTGTTGTTGTTGTTGCTCGCAGACGTGTCGTAGCCAGGCCAGCCAGCAACATCATCAGTGCAAATCGGATAAGCACTGATGATGTTGCTCGGTCTGGCTACGAAACGTCTGCAAACAACGACAACACTTCCATCTCGGAGAACACCGCACCAACAATAACCCTGTTTGCATTCAGAGCGTTTTATGTGACTGTTATCTTTCGTTGACTTCGATTGAGTTTGTGAATAAACTGTCGCGAGGCTTGTTTAGAAAAATGCAGACATGCTTTCCTCGGGGTTTGAGCTTTTGTTAAGTCCAGTACAAACCCACGAGGTAGTGGCTGTTGTGAAGATTGCAACTCATTTGCGGGGGTCAGGGAGCGGGATCGGTGTTCATTTTTACGAGATGGTCAAAGACAGACACACACACACAGAGAAGGAGAGTACTTGATGCGTCGCAGCTCCAATCTCTTTGGTATATGTGAGTGAAACAGACTACTGATATCTGTTATACTGCTACTGAGTTTAGTCATAGGACTAGAAACGGAGAAAAATCGAACACAGATAAACTCTGGCCGTTTCGAGTGAAAGAATCAAATGGGTCGTGAGATGAGACAACAAAATAAAACAATGTTTCGTCCAAAATCATGATGTAACATTTGCAAAACTAACCACATAGACAACGATTGATTGGGACACCAGGTGTATATAGTGGGAACCCTTTTGTGGAGAGGAAAAAACAGGGGAAGAAAACAAGGAGAATGAGGGTATCAATTTTGAAAAGTTTTGAAAAATTAAAACTCTAAATCACTATCGGTCTTTCCAAATCACATTTTGACCGAACAATATCAAATCACAAATGAACCAAATAGGAGACATGTTTCCTTAGATTGAGCTACACCTGATTCGAAAGTTTCAGTTTGAATAAAGCATGGGTTGAGGTTGGTACTGATTGTTAATTTCCGTAAGGAAATTCGCCTGATAAACCTGTTAGTATCCCGCACGCTATCCAATCGTAAAAGGTATTCTTTGTTATAAAGATTATGGTCACGTGATTCGTGGAAGAAC